GTGGGACCCCCAGAGCAGAGGGACAACACAGGGATCACAGTAAGAGAGAGATTTCAGGACACACCTCAGTTCCCAGCCATGGCCTGCAAAAGACTGGTCCCTGCCTCAGTTTCCCTCCCACTGTCCTAGCCTGAGATCAGTTCCTTTCCCCGCCAGCCATCCCCAACACAGCAAGGAGTGAGGAGGTGTCTCAGCTCCCCAGGGAGGCCCCAGCACACAGGGCAGGTGGCAATTCCTGCACAGTTCCCCCCTTCCCCTGGCACAGCTGTATCCCAGGGTGCCTCTGGACCCCTGCAGAGGATTGAGTCCCACCGCATCAGCCCCAAGGCAGGGCCCAGGTGGTGGATGCAGGTGAGAGGGGCTGCCCGCATGCCAGTTTTGTAATGGGCATAAGCAGCTCAGCAGATTTACCCCTGAGCTGAGAGTGACCCTGGCTAAGCCGCCGGGAGAGGCCGGGCACGCCACGCGGGCTGCGGCACTGGGCACTGCGCGGGGCCAGCCCTGCCACCCGCGTCACCACAGCCTGGCCAGGCCTCTCTCCTGGGGTCTGGGAACTTGCCCCAAGATCACCCACCTCTTCACAAGGGGCCATCTGCGTGGCCAGACATGCCCAGGTCCGTTTTGCCACCAGTTTTGAGCTCCCCAGGTGGAAACAACACTTGGGCAGCTCCCTCCTCAGCAGCTCTCAGCCGCCAGACCCTCAGCCCTGCCGCATCCCCCACCCCACGGTTAATCTCGGCCTCCCATTTAGGAAAGTTAAAGCGGCTCAGAGCAGGGCCAGATGATCACCCAGATTAAAGACTTAATGGTACCATAACAGCCAGCTCAGCATCTCGGCTCCGGGCTGGCGGGTCAGCGTGTCAGTGTGTCAGTGAGTCAGCACATCACACACACGCGTGTGGACAACCTCCCACACACGCACATGGAAACACACGTTCACTGTGCCAGGGGAGACAGCGTGTTGCCAGCAAAGGAAAACACGTCTGGTGTCTTTGTGGGATGCCCCCCTGCCCGCGCGCCCCCCAGCAGTTGCACTGGCTGCAGCGAGAGTGCCGATGTGGGACTACAAAGACACTGTGCACGTCGCTGTGCGCTTGCCCGACATCCATGCTTGCAACTCTCGGCAACACGTGTGGCAGCATGTGCCCCTGGGGCAGGAGCAACGACACGGTGTCAGCGACACTTGCTGGGACTGTAGGAATGCCCAGAAGGCTGAGCCATCCTGCAGGTTGCCGTTGGCTTTTCCCCACAGGTGGGGATATTTTGGGAAGTGTGGGTGATGGCCATGCTGCCCTTGCAGCCCAGGGGGATGCCCGCTGCAGCCAGCTGAGGAAAGCTGCCTTTTGTCCGTTTGCAGGGTGCAGCACAGGGACGAGCTGGGAAAGCAAGCGGGTTTGTCCCCAGATAAATCTGCCCCAGGCTGAGCTTTGAGTAGGCACTTGCGCAAGAAGGACCCAGGCCAGCCATGTGGGATCCCAGAGGGATGAGTCAGGGGTATTGCCTCCCAGTCCAGAAGCATCCCATCCCATCCCATCCCATCCCAAATTACACTGGAGACTCCCCATCACACACCAGCTTGGGCATTGCCAGGCTCTATGACTGGCTGCTATGGGGTTGAAACTGGGGTTAGTGGGTGGTATTTAGGGGATCATGTTGAAAGAGCATTGGGGAGGTCAGTCAGACATGATTAGGGTACAATCTCTGGTATTTGCAGTGGGGGCATAGGATTTGGGGGTGGGCTGTGGCTCATCATGTGATGTCATCCCCCTGGGGCCAAAGTCTCCAGAGCTGTGGCATTTTGAGCTCTGTTCAGGACTGATCCAGGTGGAGAACAGCATCTTCAGGTTGGGTTATGCCTCCCAGCAGTACCAGCCCTGCTGGGAAACAGCTTCTTTGATGCTTACATTACAGGCCTCTGCTCTCCAGCCCCTGGTGAGATGGTAGCTGGTTCCCAGCCCCGGCCCTATCCCCAGGTCCCCCATCTGCAGGAAGAGCCCTTGCTCACACGAGGTCTCAGTGTGCAACACCCCATGGCACCCAGGGAGCCCCAGAAGCATCGCAGCTCCCCTCACCTCGCAGCACAGCAGCGCTGCCTACAGCTGCTAACGCCGACGCTGCTCCAGCCCCAGAGCCCAGCATCCTCCTAGCCAGAGCCTGAGGTGCCTGGGCCAGGAGTTGGACCGTCTGGCCAAGTAGGACCATTTCCCCCACCCCATTCATGCCCGTGGTGCCAGGAGAAAGCAGTCAGAGCCTGGATGTTGCATTTCCACCGATTTATTGGGGAAGCCACACCAAAGTATTAAAATAAATTAAAAGCACAGGCCATGTGGGTGCCTTGCATACATGACTATCAGGAAGGCAAAGGTAGAGTGGGATCTTCAGTAGAGAGGCAGGTAGAGAGGATGGAGCACCAGGGAGTCCCAACAGCTGCAGAAACCTCTACCATAAATTAAGTATTAATAGCTGCAAAACTAGAGGTACAAAAAAAATTGTACCTTTAGTATGGTCTTAAAGGCAAAGTCTGAGTCAGACCTCCTTGTAAGGAAGCACTGGGCTGGAAGAGACCTGACCAATGGGGGGAAAAAAAAAAAAGCCCAAAACCCAGGGAAGGGAAAGGGGAAATACATAGGACCCAGCCACGAAGCAAGGTCACCCTTCACAGCTCCATGCCCTCCTGGGAGCAGAGGACGGTGTCTAGTCATTGAAGTTTTAGGGTTCTTGACAAAGTCATACCCTTCATCCTCATCTTCCTGGCCTGACACTTGAGCTTCATTCCATCTGTCCCCAGGTTTAGCCCCAAATTCGATGCAGGAAGATTTGTTGCAGCAGAGGAGAAAAGCAGGCCAAGCCTCTAGTTTTCCCACTTGGAGGAAACAGACCCATTTCCGCATCCCACTCTGCTCTCAAGGAGGCCAAGCCCCAGATTGTCACCAGACACTCTGAATGTGAATAACGCAGGGCCCCCTCACCCCACACACAGAGATAAACACAACCACCAGAAATGTGGGGTAAGTTCAGGACCAGAGGGATGCTGCCAGTCGGGGCGGGGATACCTAGAGTCACCAACCACCCACAGCTCAGACTCAGGCAGTCTGATGTGGCCTTGGCTCTGTCCCACGTGTCCCCAGAGACCCCTGCCCCAAGTGCTCTCTGGAGACAACCTCTGCTCCCTCTGATGAGACCCTCTCCCTCCCTCCCAACCTTTCCAAAGAGGTCCATTGTGCCACAGCCTGGCTTCAGCTTAAGGGAGCTCTCCAAAACACCCCCACCACCCACCCTGTGAGACAGTTCTGGAGAAGGAAGTAGCCATCATGGCTCCCCCAACCCTAGCTACAGCCACAGGCATCAACGATCATGTCAGGGATGTCAGTCTTGACAATGTTGCTGTTGCGATCAAAGTAGAGGACAGAGAGTGGCCGGCGTCGCGTGGGCACGCAGCAAGAGTGCCCTGATGCCTGGATGTTGTTAGCTTTGACGAGGTTGAAAACGGCTGTGTGGAAAGAAGAGGCCATTCCAGGGCTGCCTGCCACATGTAGAGGGCACTGGCCCACACAGTAGTTTATCTGGTAGCCCTCAGGCTTAATGATCCAGTCATTCCAACCGATGTCACGGAAATCCACATAGTAATCCTTGCGGCAGCAGAGGTTGGAGTTCTGGCTGCAGCGGAGGCTGCGCTTGGCCACGTGGTGTCCTGGCTCCCGCACCTTTGCCTTGGCCACCAAGAAAGGCTGGTGGGACCGGCTGGCATTGACTATTGCCATGATATCTCCCTTATCCCCACGGCTTTCCAGTTCCAGCCGCAGGGCCCGGTGCTCTCCTCCAAAGAAACTCTGCAGGGCAGGCACGAGGGTGAAGGTGCGCCAGCCGCTTCCCTTGGCACTCAGTCGCCTCTCACTCAGCAGCGTGCGATTGCCACCCACCAAATCACCGTCCCCACCAGCAAGGAAGATTCTCAGGGTGAGGCTGGCTACCAGGTCTCGGGGAACTCGAAGGTAGAGCCAAAGCTGAGCCTGCAGGATGTGAACGTCCTGGTCTTGTGTACGGCTGAACCGGAACTGCAGCCCCAAGCCAGAGGGAGACGTGGGCTCTGAGGGGAGAAAGGGATGAGGAGGTGAATGCTGCAGGATGCTAGGGGAGGTAAGGCTGCACCACCATCCTGCACCTCATGGCCAACCTCTTTCAGCTTCTTCTCAGGAAAGACCTACAAACTTCCCTTCCTCCACAGGGCCCTCAGTCTGACTCCCTTCCTTCTTTGGGAATGCTACCTGGAGGGGGGGCAGTGTTGGAATGGAGGGATTGTCCCACTCTGCATGGCAGAATGGGCACAGAAGGAAGCAGGGAGCACCTTCTCTCACCTGGCCCTTCTGGTCTTTTCCCTTCGCTGCACAGAGAGTGTTTCCAGCCCCTCTGCCACCTGGAGCTAGTCCTTGCAGCTCCCAAGTCCAGCTACTGGGAGTCCCAGGCACCCCTGGTTGCCTCCACCCTCCAGGAAGGGGACAGGCATTGCAGCACTTCAGGTGTAGGGTCCCAGCTGGACAGTGCGGGGGCAAAAGAGGGGCCATCTCTCCTTCTCCCAGCCTGAGCCTCCCTGCATCAGCAGCACTAGGAGGTCACCAGTGCACAGCAGGCGCATTAACTAATGACTTAATCACAGCCCGTGCGGCTCCAGGCACCCTCGCCCTGCTGTGAGGGGGCAGACAGTGAGGACCCTGGCACCAGCAGTGCCGCAGCACCCCGAGGTTCAGGGGCTG